GTCTCGGCCTGAAGCGTCAGCTTTCCTGCTCCTCTGATGCTGCTTAGCCTGCTGTGTTCATCCAGTTCTACACCTTGTTATCTTAACTCTGGGAATGGCGGTTCACTGAGGTGCGAGGGAAAGGGGATAAACGGCTGGGATGCCGGTTCCCGCCGCCATTTACAGACGTGCACCTCCAATTGCAGCACCGTCCGCGCGACAGCCGTTTGGGCTCGCGCGCTCTCGGATTTGAAATCCCGAACGCTGGGCGCCGACAGCCGTGACGCGAGTCAGAACACAAACTTCCATCATGCACTGCGAGCGGGCTTTTTTTCCCCCGATTTTAGACCGCCACCCCTCACTGCGCAGGCGTGGGTCCCACAAGCAGCATGGGTAATGTAGTTCGGAGCGGGATTATGAGCGGTTTGGGTGAATTGAGCTGAGTCCCTGTGGAGGTTTTAAACAACCTCAGTGAAGGGGGAGCTTTGTGGGCTTGGGGTTGTAATTCAGTTAATGTTTGAGGAGATGGACCGTGTCTCCCTCCATCAAATACAGGAAGGCACTTCCAGAGAAAACCTCTCCAACATTTTCTCACCAAATGTGAGATTTTGCTGCAATGTCCGAGATATTTCTGGAGATTTTGGGACAGACCTGATAAATGTTGGTGTTACTGTTTCAATATAAAATACTTTAATACAAATTACAGAAATATTTTTGTAAGGAGGGGTTTGTTATTTTGTATGTCGGACAGACTTACCAGTATAAAAGGGACAATTTTATATTTTAAAGGAAATGCAGTGAAAATCTTCAACAAGTAGCAAAATGAATACAAAGAGTTAGTAAGAACTGCAGATGCTGGAGTTAGAGATAACACTGTGTGAAGCTGGAAGGAGCACAGCAGGCCAGCATCGGAAGTTGACGTTTCGGTTCTGGAAACTTTCGAAAATTGGGATGCTTTTTGTTTTATTCTTCAAGGGATGACGACATCACTGGCTAGGCAGCATTTATTGTCCCATCCCTAATTGCCCACAACTAAGAGCCAACACACGTTGCAGTGGGTTTGAAATCGCATTTAGACCAGACCTTCCCTAAGAGGACATTAGTGAACCGGTTGGGTTCCCCCCCCACCTCGCCACCAATCAACAATGGATTCACAATCTTAATTCCTTACAATCTTAATTCCAGATATTTATCGAAATCGAAGTCCACCATCTGCCGTGTGGGATATCGAATTTAGACATCTTCTGGGTTAATAGTCCAGTGACAATATCACTACGCCATTGCCTCCCTTCAGTTGGCTAGGTGATAGAAAACAGAGAGTAACGGTCAACGGAGATTTTTCGAGCCGGAGGAAGGTTTGTGTTGGAGCTCCCCTGGGATTGGGTTGAAGCGGTGGGAGGGGCGGTTCCGGGAGGGCGTGTCCCGCCTGTTTCTGTCAATGGCTGGAATCCGTGATTGACAGGAACATGGGCTTGATCTATGATTGGGTCTGAGAGACGTCAATCAGAGATCCCACCCACGCTGCCCATTCCCTCCTCTTCCTCTTCCAGAGCTGGTTCACTTCCTATTGGGACTGAAAACCAAGTGAGGAGGTGGTGAGTGAAGGAGCAGCTTTTATACAAATTGTATCCCATAATATCCACACCAATCTTCAGGCAGACTGACTATCCTGTGGATAATCAGGGGTGGAAATGTCCCTTATGCTGTGTGAGAAGATCCAGCTGAGAGAGCTGTTTACTCGGTGCTTTGTGCTGAACTGTTTGACTGGAGCTGTGTGTTGGATATTGAGTGTGTTTATTGGAAGCATTTCCCTTCTGATTTCCAGGCTGAGTTTTGTTGATGACTCATTCCTGAATATGAGAAGGTGTTGTGTCATTATCTGGGAGGTCTGAGGAATCTTACTGATTTCCTGTAGTTGAGTTGTGTGTGTCTATTGGGGGCTGGGTGTTATCCTGTGGTTTGTGAATGGTCGGTTCACTCAGTGTGTTTTAGGATCTTGATGTTGCCTGTTTGTTCAAATCTCTCCAAAACTTCCTGCCATCCCATCTCTGTAGCCTCCGAAATTAAAAATAAGGACTTACATTTACATAACGCCCTTCACAACCATTTCTCCATTTGCGAGTGGTGTGGGACATAACCAGAGATTGTGACAATGAGTTTTAAACGTCCTTGGACCACCGCAGCCCATTTGGTGTAGATAAGCCCATAATGCCATTTGGGAATTCCAGGATTTTGACTTAGCAACACTGAAGGATCGCTGATTTATTTCTTAGCTGGGATGGTGAGTGGCTTGGAGGTGTACCTGGCAGTAGTGGTGCTCATGGGAGCTACCGTTGTCCTTTTAGGTAATATTGTCCAAGATTTGGAAGGTGCTGCTAAGGAACCTTATTAAGTTTCTATACTGCATCTTGTAGATGGCATACTCTGTTACTACTGAATGTGGTTTGTGGATATGGTACCAATCAAGCAGTCTGCTTTGTCCTGGATGGTGGCAAGTTTATTGAGTGTTGCTGGAGCTGCACTCATCCAGGCAAGTGGGGAGTATTCCATTACACTCCTGATCTGTGCCTTGTAGCTAGTGGACTGACTTTGTGATAGTAGGAGGTTAGTTACTTCAGACTCGCCTCTGACCTCTCCTTTTAGCCAGAGCACTTATACGAATAGGACAGGTTAGTTTCTGGTCAGTAGTAACCCCTAAATAGTGGGGCATTCAGTGATGATAATGACATTGAATGTCATGGAAGATTGTTAGATTCTCTCAAGTCAGAGAGGATCATTGCCTGATAAGCCACTTGTCAGCCCAGGCCTGGATATTGTCCAGGTCATGCCGTATTTGAACATTGTCTGAGGAGTCAGAAATTGTGCTGAACATTGTGCAATCATCAGTGAACATCTCCACTTCTGACATTAAGTTGGAGGGAAGGTCAGTGATGAAGCAGCTGAAGATGGTTGGGCCTTGGGTGCTACCTTGACAAACTCCTGCAGAGCTGAGATGACTAATTTTCAACAAATCTTGTTCTGTGCTAGGCATGACTAGTTAATGAAGAGTTTACCCCTGATTCCCATTAAGTCAGGCTTTGCTAGGCTCCTTGATGTCACACCCGGTCATAAGCTGCCTCAGTGTCACCTCTGGAATGCAGCTGTTTGGCCCATGTTTTAACCAAGTGTGTATAAGGTCGATAGCAGTTTATTGTTAAACAAGTGATGCTTGATAGTACCAAGAATCACTCCTGTCATCATGTTCCTAATGATCGAGAGTAGACCGATGGAGTTGTATTTGGCTGAGTTGGATTTGTCCTCCTTTTTCTGTGTAGGATGTAACTGGCTAATTTTCTACATTGTCAGGTAGATGCTAATGTTGTAGTTGTACTAGAATAGTTTGATCAGGGGTGTGGCAATTTTTGGTATATCAGTCTTAAGTAATATCACTGGAATGTTGTGAGGACTTAAACCTTTGGTATCTAACACCTTTAGTACGGATATGTGGGTTGTGCAAGATGAAAAGATGTGAGAGGAGGTTTGTGTGGGGTTGAAACACTGGCATAGATCCATTGGGCCAAATTGTCTGTTTTCTTCATCTGGCAAGACCAGCATATATTGCCCATCTCCAATTGCCCTCAAACATGTGGGAGTGGGCTGCATCTTGAACTGTTGCAGTCCTTGATATGTACATACACCCACAATGCTGCTAGGAAGGGACTTCCTTCAGTTTCATTGGGTTGAAATGCTGGAACGGCGATATATTTCCAAGTCAGGATGCTGAGTGGCTTGGAGTTGCAGGTGGTGATGTTCCCAATGTTCCTGCTGTGTAATTCTATGGATGTAACTTTCCGTGGTTAGGTTGGAACTCTCAGTCTCTGGATTGTTAAACGTAGCACCATAGCAATTCAGCTGCTGTACCTGGAGACTCATTTAGTTAAATACATTTTAATGCTTTCTTTAAATATTTCACCCCTGTCCAAAAAGCCTACATTTGGATTTGATCATTTTGCCTAACAACGTGGCTGAAAGCTGAATTTGGGATGTGCAGTCTGACTGAGTGCAGTGTATCTAATTTTCCAAGTTAAAGCAGACATCTTCAGTCAGCTACACTGAACCAATATTTTTCTCAGCTTCTAGCACTTCCTGCCCAGTGACTTTTCTTCAAATAATTTAGGAAAACAAGGTAATAAATTTCAAAATTTCTCTTTATTGTGTTTAATAAGGGTGAAGTGGTATTCACTAGCATTAAATGAGATTTTAATTAAGTGAAAAATCTTACACTCTGACTGTCTTTTCCATTGCCCCCATGGTGCCTGGCAAAATGAGGATATGAATGGAGGAAAGAATGCAGCCACACTGTCTGCTCCTGGTCACGTCCAGTCATGGAAAAACATGTGTGACAGTCAAGGGATGAAAAAGAAAGGACTTGTATTTGATTCCCCCCAAGGATAGGGGAATGACAGATTGGCACTCACTGTAAAACAGCCTCTAACTGAGGGGCAGCCCCTTCAGCAAAGGAGGAGAGGGAGTTGGAGGAAATCATATTTCCTTTTCCTGTTTACAGAAGGATTGCATCATGCTACACCAGAGAATACAGAGAGGATAGACACCACTAATAGATCCTGACTATCACCCAAGGAACAACTACACAACTGCAGGAAGACATTCGGTCTCTTCACAGCCTTGTTCAACACAGAAGATTGGATAGTGAAACCATCAGTCGGGTCAGGGAAGTTTTGACATATCATCAGGTCTGAAACTGGTCAGTGGTGTGGAGCCTTCCATCAGAACCAACCTTTCTGAAGGTTTAGCTGTGGGTGATCAGTCAGGGTGAGGCTGGGAAGAAGTGTGAGTGGTTCCAAGTGTGGTGAGAGTTTCAATCATTCATCAAGCCTCATGAATCACTGACTCATTCCTACAGGGGAGAGGCTGTTCAAGTGTGAGGTGTGAGAGGAGGGCTCTATCGGCTCATCAGATCTCCTCAGATTTTCTAAGATCTTATGTATCCCCATCTGTAAGAGATGGTGAGTTAAATGGGAAAGAAGTCATTCAAGTGTGACATGTGTGACAAAGCCATTACAAGTTGGCGTCTTTCCTAATGAGCCAGATAATTCACACTGGGGAGAAACCCTTCAGATGTGAGGTTTGTGAGAAAGCTTTCAGTCAGTCCTCCAATCTTCTGACACATCAGAGAATTCACACTGGGGAGAAACCCTTCAAGTGTGAGGTGTGCAACCAAACCTTCACACAGTCATCAACGCTTGTGAATCACTGGCATATTCATACTGGGGAAAAGCCATTTAAATGTGAAGTGTGTAAAAAGGGCTTTACACAGTCCTCTGGTCTGGTGAATCACCGGCATATTCATACAGGAGAGAGACCATTCACATGTGAGGTGTGTGACAAAGCATTCTCACATTCATCCCCTTTCCAAAGACACCAACATATTCACACTGGGGAAAAACTATTCAAGTGTGATGTGTGTGACAAAGCCGTTACAAACTCATGGACACTCCTAAATCACCAACACATCCATATCGAGGAAAAGCCATTCAAATGTGAAGTGTGTAATAAAGGTTTTGCACAGTTATCAAATCGGGCATATCATCAACATATTCACGTAGATGAGAAACCATTCACGTGTGAGGTGTGTAACAAATCATTCTTGCATTTGTCTCACTTCAGCATGCACCAACGCATTCACACAGGGGAGAAACCATTCATGTGTGAGGTGTGCAGCAAAAGCTTTGCTCGGCTGTCAAACCTAGCGTATCACAGGCGCATTCACACAGGGGAGAAACCATTCAGGTGTGATATTTGTAACAAGAACTTTGCACGAATGTCAATCCTGGTGTATCACTGGCACATTCACACAGGGGAGAAACCATTTTTGTGTGAAGTGTGTAACAAGGGATTTGTGCGATTTTCAGACTTGGTCAGTCACCAGCGCAGTCACACAGGGGAGAAACCATTCAGATGTGAGGCTTGTAAGAAGGCTTTCACCCAATTGTCTGATCTCTTGGAGCACCAGAGGATTCATACAGGGGATAAACCCTTCAAGTGTGAGATTTGCAAAAAGTCTTTCACCCATTCGTCTGGTCTCCTGAAACACCAGAGGAGTCACATGGGAGAAACTCTTCTTGCATGAGGTTAGCAACAAAGACTTCACAAAATCTTTGAAAAGCTTCCTCCATCAGACAGTCCACACAGGGAAGCAACCTTTCAAATCTTAAATTTCCTACAACTAAGTCTTTGTCAACATCTTCAACTCAGGACAGCAGAGGTTTCACACACCAGTGAAATTTTTTAGATGTGCAGATTGTGCCAAGACTTTCATCCACTCCTCCTGCCCCTGCTCTCCTGGAGAGAAAAAGCCTTCATGTGAGAGGTATGTGAAAAAGCTTTTGCATAGTAAGTATTTCTCCTGTATCACCAAACCAATGACACAGGAGCAAATCCCCGTTGGTCTGAGTTCTATCATGAAACCTTCACACAATTGTCACAGTTTGTGCAGTATCAGTGAACCCGCACGGAGGACACACTCTGCCACTGTGATGCATGACTGAATTATTTCACTTACACCTCTCTGACCATACACTAATGTTTCAACACTGAGTTGGAGCCGGGTCACCTGCTTTGGTTGCACTGAAAGTTTTCAGTATGATTCCTGGCTGATTCTCACCCTCCACAGAACAGCGATCCTAAAGCTGATTGAAGTACCTCCATTGACAGTCCCAGGAATGGCTCCTCCCTGGGTGCTTGTTTTGGTAGATCCAGAAAGATGATTCTAACCGATGAAAGAATGCTGGGTTTATGTAGCTAGAAATCCCACTCCTCATCAGTGAACCCAGCTAGGAAGTCAGGAGGAAGGCAGGATGGGTCTCGGCTGTGACAGTCCCCATTGTCTCACAGCATTTACTGTCTCGCTGTCCACATACTGAACAGCCACTCGAACAGAGCACTAGAGGCCAATCAATGTCCACAGGCTGTCCTCCAGGTCAGTACCTTAAGGATTGGAGGGAGTGTGAGATGGGAAAGAGGCCATAATCCCAATAACAACAACAACTTGCTTTCATACAGCACCTTTAATATCATAAAACGTTCTAAGATGTTTCATACAGACACAGTCAGATAAAAAATTAACACTGAGACAGAGAAGGAGACATTAGGAGATGTCACTTTGTCTCTGAGAGGATTTCCTCTGCCATAAGCTAAGAGGATTTTGTCATTTGACCTTCGTTTTTAGATGGCCCTGGTAACTTGCTGAGTATGATTGTTAGATCTATTGAGTTTTCAGTTCCCACCATGTGTCCTTTGAAATGCTGCTTTCTTGAGTTGTGACCTTGGGTTGTTCTGCCCAGCAATGAGGCTGATCGTTTTTGTTCCAGGCAGTCACATTTTTGAACATCATGTTCACTGAGCCAGTCCTGGTGACAGTGATGCTCAAACCCAAAGGTCTGGACACAGGAGTTCAGTCCAGCTGACTTTATTTTGATCCCACTGTTTGGGAATTGTGTTGAATACGTGAAGATTTTCCATTTGGTGTCAGTTGTAACTGGAATTCCTCTCATTGGTCTGGCTGCTTTATTTTGACATATCGATTTTCTTCCTCTTAAGCTTTTGGGTCTTTCTGATGTCTTAATGCTGGGTCAATGTTCACCAATTAAGCAAATCAATGATCTGTCCGAGGTGGAGTTGGCCCTTCCACATGTATGGAGTGATTCAAACATCAATTGGATCATAAGCTGGCTTTAGACTTTTTAGAGGGATCTCTCGTGATCTTAATTGATAGACAAATAGATGATCATCATATGACATTGATCGACTATTTGGAAGTGTGGTAGAGACAGGTTCAATTGAGACATTCAGGAGGGCATTAGATGATTATTTGAATAGGAATGAAGTGCAAGGGTATGGGGAGAAAGCAGGATTTTGGCACTAGGTGTTTGAAGAGCCAGTGCAGATATGGTCATGTGATAGGTCATGTGATAGTCCCCATTCCATCTACAAGCTACCTAATACTGACTGCTCACCTCTTCAAAGAGCAACTGCCACCTGGTGTCAGTATTAAATCCTGTCGCGTTGGGAAATATATTTACCTCGGTCCCCTTCATGCCAAATAGATCTGGAGATAGTAGGAACTGCCGATGCTGGAGAATCTGAGATAACAAGGTGTAGAGCTGGATGAACACAGCAGGCCAAGCAGCATCAGAGGAACAGGAAAGCTGACGTTTCGGGTCTGGACCCTTCTTCAGAAATGGGGGAGGGAAAGGGGATTCTGAAATAAATAGAGAGAAAGGGGGAGGCGGATGGAAGATGGATAAAGGAGCAGATAGGTGGAGAGGAGACGATCAGGTCAAGGAGGCGGGGATAGAGCCAGTAAATGTGAGTGTAGGTGGGGAGTTAGGTTGGAGGTTGGTCAGTCCAGGGAAGACGGACAGGTCAAGGAAGCAGGGATGAGGCTGGTAGGTAGGATGTGGGGGTAGGGGTGGGAGGAGTGGATAGGTGGGAGAAAGGATGGACAGGTGAGGAAGGCGGGGACGAGCTGGGCTGGTTTTGGGATGCAGTCAGGGGCGGGGAGATTTTGAAGCTTGTGAAGCCTCTGTCTTCTTCCTGGACCTCTCTGTTTCCATCTCAGGCAACCACCTGGAAACCAATATTCATTTCAAGCCTACCAACTCCTACAGCTACCTAGAATACACCTCCTCTCACCCACCTTCCTGCAAAAATGCCACCCCCTATTCCCAATTCCTTTGCCTCCGCCGCATCTGCTCCCGAGATGAGGTATTCCACTCCCGGACATCCCAGATGTCCTTGTTTTTCAAGCACCGCAACTTCCCCTCCACAGTGATTGAAAATGCCCTTGACTGCGTCTCTCACGTTTCCTGCAACTCATGCCTCACACCCCTTCCCCTCAATAACAACCAAAACAGAATTCCCCTCGTCCTCACGTACCACCCCACCAACCTCCGGCTCCAACGCATCATTCTCCGGCACTTCCGCCATCTGCATTCTGACCCCACTACCAAAGATATTTTTCCCTCCCCACCCTTATCTGCTTTCCGGAGGGACCACTCTCTCTGTGACTCCCTTGTCCGCTCCACACTCCCCTCCAGCCCCACCTCACCCAGCACTTTTCCCTGCAACCGCAGGAAGTGCTACACCTGCCCCTACACCTCCCCCCTCACCCCATCCCAGGCCCCAAGAAGACCTTCCACATCAAACGGATGTTCACCTGCACATCTGCTAATGTGGTATACTGTATCCGCTGTTCCCGATGTGGCCTCCTCTACATTGGGGAAACCAAGCGGAGGCTTGGAGACCGCTTTGTGGAGCACCCACACTCGGTTCGCAACAAATGTCTGCACCTCCCAGTCGCGAACAACTTCAACTCCCCCTCCCACTCCTTGGACGACATGTCCATCCTGGTCCTCCTCCAGTGCCACAACAATGCCACCCGCAGGAGCAGCACCTCATATTCTGCTTGGGAACCCTGCAGCCCAATGGTATCAATGTGGACTTCACAAGCTTCAAAATCAAGATATTAGGGCTTTACTAAAAAGTGAATCTACTGTGAGTTACAAATCTATACAGAAGATTGATAAAGCACCAGACAAATAACCAAAACCATACTCAGCTTACACCAAACTTGAGTCAACCAGACTAATAAAACATTTGCAAATTATACGAGAACAAGAAGAGTCTGAGGTGAACATATCATGCCGCTATAGTATGGGGGTGTGATGGTCTGAGGGAACTCAGATCTGTAGAGGCTCACTCCACTCCTTCACCATACCCAGGATAGCAGTCCTCCCAGACAGGAGAGTACAAACATCCACTATGGTTTTGTCAAACACCTGTCCCCTGAACAGGATCTCTCTATAATTCACATCCCCAACTAAAGCAGGATCTGATTCTACCCCACACCTACTCCTGAGAACCGGCTTACTTCACTAACACACACACTCACATTAGGGACAACACTCTCAGAATACTACAGACGGAGGTTTCTTTAAAATCCCTATGCTTTAGTCTGGCTCCCAATTCTGATGGTCAGACTTTAGGGACACAGGATCAAGTTCATTTCTATCATACAAACCCACCAATGGTTACAGAGATCCAGTGGGTTCATGGTCCAATCGGTTTCCATTCCTGGAAGATCCAGGTGAGTTAGACAGTGATTTCTAATTCACAATTCCTTGCCCTTTAGCCCTCTCTTCACTGCTATGCTTCTGTGGTTGTCAATCTGGTTTAGTCATTCCCTCATATCCAAGTTCTGCACAACTGTTCCCAAAGTTACCTTCACTCTCTTCCTTCTGGAATAATTTCATTGTTTTTCAAGCCCAAGGGTTGACGATTTGAGCCTCTCTGGTACACAAATGTATTTTTCATCCGTCACCTGATCTGACTGGACCACATCAAGCTCCAATGGCCCTGCTATCCTCTGTCAAAACAGGTCATGACTCCAAGAACATCCTGAACATGAGAGATTACATACAGTTTGACCTCCTGAAAACCAAGCTGTGGTTCCAGCTGTACGGAGGCACCTCCGGACGTATGGCCCCGATCCTCCAATCAGCTGTGTTTGATAGAACAGCAGAAAACTACCTTAACTGGACATAGCTAGATATGTTGAAAAGGCCAGACTTTGATCAACAGAATTCCCTCAGCACAGGAATCCATATAGAAAGTAACAAAGAGCATCAGCACAGGAGACAGCACTAAATAGTACTAACTGTCATGGGGTAAACTCAAATATTCAATGTGAATGGGTCACTGTGGATGAATGAATGAGTGAGTTGTCTTGACTTGGTGATCACAGTTACTTCACATAGGCAGTCATCAATTTGTAAGCAATTTTCTGATTGTTGTTTGTTCGGAACAGCAGTTTACATGTGATACATTAGTTAATTAGCTAAAGAAAATATACAATTGGGACAACTGGGGTTGGCTCACTGACACCAAAGGACAAACAAAGCTGTATGTGTGGAATGTACCAGTCCTGTTAAAGTTGTAAACGTAGTATCCTGCTCTCCAGCTGAAATGTTCAGGAACTGTTTCCTGGGTCTTTCTCTTCTTCTCCTGGTCCATTTCAGGAAAGAGTTCTCTGAGGACTGCCTGATGAGAACGACTGATGACCACACCTAGTTAGAACTGCAAGATCTGCCTGATGAGTACCACTCAGTGAGGATGACACAATTAGGACTGCTGTCTACAAAAGTCTGACTGATGAGGAACCCCTGTGCCCCTGAGTACTTGTCAATACACTTTATTTCTAGGGGCAGATAACTTACGCCTTGTCAATCAATTGTCTGAATTCTTTTGACTAATGACCAAGGGACAGCTCCTCATGATGTTGGAAGACCATTGACCCTTTGCCACCTCCATTTGAAAGTTTTCATTCCTTCCAACAACACAGGGTAGCATGGTGCCCAGTACCTTTTTTGTTTATGCTAGTAGGCCGACTGTAACACCGTGAAATGAAGTCTCATGACAGGAAATACTAAATTTGGAGCACTAAAAGCATTGAGTTTAAAAGGAGAACCCAATTTCAACAGTTATAGGGTGGTTAAGTGAGTGAAGTATGGTGTTAAAGTGATAAGTGAACAATATGATAGGTGAGAAGGGTGGAAGGTGGGTAGAGATGGCTGAAGTCGTTAGTTGCAGGTTGGGAGGTAGGTTTTGTTCAGTTTGTGAGAGGGGCGAGGGAAGGGGCGTGGCTAAATGATGGGATAAATCCATTTTGGTTGTGGAAGTCATTGTGAGATAGTTGGATTGAGTTGGTATGAGTGATCAGGTCAGACCAAGGGGGAGTATTTGAGAGAGTTAATGGGATTGTCAATGGGATTTGGGGGCAAGTTTAAGATGGGACAGTTGTATGTTTGACTAGGTTTTTTTGGATAACTGTTGAGGTAAACAAGTCAGAACTATTTGAAAGCTGAGATTCAAAGCCAGTCTGAGACATTTTTGGAGGATCCTGGGGAATTAACTGTCAAAAGCTTAAATTTTGTGGAGAATTCCCACTGAGTTACTGCATCAACGCTTTTGCAGGGTCCCAGTGTGTATTTTGGAGTCCAACAATCCAGACACCAGAGATCCTGAGTCAATATTGGAGGAAATACAGCAGAGATTTCAGAATATTCCTGCAGATGAAGTAGGAGGACAGTTTGCATAGACTGAGTTTGCATTTTCTTGACTATAGAAAGTTAAGGGATAATCTAATTGAGGTGTTTAAGATGATCAAATAAATTGATAGTGTAATTCGAAAGAAACTGTTCCTCTGGTGAGAGAGTCCAGAACAAGAACACTTTTAAAACCTCACATTTTTTTCAAACATGGCCTAAATGACTCAATCTCAAGGCTTGCCTCCTGCCTGCAGTTGGAATATTGTTGGAATACTTTACATGCTATGAAAATAACCATAAAATCTTGATATAATCCTCCTTATTCCTCCTACAGCCCCCATTCACCACTATTATACTGAAACCAGGTGAGGCTGCAGAGTTCATGCTTGAAGCTCCTCCTAAGTGAATCCATTATTGATACATTACCCAATAGGTATGAAAGCCTTGTCACACACTTCACACTGAATGGTTTCTCACCCTCGTGGTTCGTTGGTGCTTCACAAGTGTCAATGACAGTGTGAAGGCTCAATTAGACACATCACACTTGAAGGGTTTCTCCCCCGTGTGCAACCTTCTGGTCAGGCTCAGAAGATTGGAGCACTGGGTGAAAGCCATCTCAAAAGCCTTACAACCAAATAGGTTCCAACCCATATGAATGTATTGCTGTGTGTGGAGGTTTGGTAACTGTGAGAATGATATGGTACATATCTCGCACACGAATGGTTTCTCCCTCATGCAAATACATTGATAATACATCAGGGAAGATGATTACAAAGCTTTTGTTACATACTTCATATTTGACAGCTTCTCCCCAATATGCATGCATTAAGTGTTGAGGAGTGTGCAAAAGCTTGGCCATAACCTCACACTTGAATGGTTTCTCTTTTTTTATTCACTCATGGGACGTAGGCATTGCTGGCTATTGCCCATTCCTTGTTGCCCTTGGGAAGGTGGTGGTGGGCTATCTTCTTGTACTACTGCAGTCTGTGTGCCTTGGATAGACTCATAATGCCATTAGGGAGGGAATTCCAGGATCTTAACCCAGTGGCACTGAAGGAATGGCAACATATTTCCAAGCCAGAATGGTGAGGGTATTGGAGGGAAATTTGATGGGTGTGTTCCCATGTATCTACTGCCCTTGTCCTTCTCACTGTTAGTGATCATGGGTTTGGAAAGTGCTGTCTAAGGAGCCTGAGTGAGACCCCTCAGTGCCTCTTGTAGCTGGTACACACAACTGAAAACTGGGCTTTGGTGTTCAATGAAGTGAATATATATGGATGAAGTCAAGCTTCTTGAGTGTTGTTGGAGCTGCACCCAACCAGACAAATGGGGAGTATTCCATCACATTCCTGACTGTGCCATTTAGATGGTGGACAGGCTTTGGGCAGTCAGGAGGTGATTGCTTGCTACAGTATTCCAAGCCTCTGAACTGCCCTTGTAGCCACTTTATTTATGTGGTAAATCCAGTTCAGTTTCTGGTCAGTGGTGACTCCCAGGATGTTGACAGTGGGGATTTCAGTGATAGTTAGATTCTCTCTTGATGGAGATTGTCATTGTTTGGCACTTGTGTGAGGCAAATGTTACTTGCTATTTTCAGCCCAAGCCTGGATATTGCTGCATTTAGACATAGACTTATTTACTATCTGAGGAATCATGAGTAATCCTGATCATTGTGCAATCATCAGCAAACATTCCCACTTCTCACTTTATGATGGAGGGAAGGTCATTGATGAAGCAGCTGGAGATGGTTGGGCCGCGGACACGACCCTGAGGAACTCCTGCAGAGATGTGCTGGAGCTGAGATGACTGACCTCTACCAATCACAACCATCTTCCTGTATGCCAGGAATGACTCCAACCAGCAAGAGTTTTCACCCTCATTTCCATTAATTCCAGTTTTGTAGGCCTCCTTGATGCCATACTCCGTCAAATGTAGCCTGGATATCAGGGCTGTCACTCTCACCTCACCTCTGGAATTTAGCTCTTCTGTCCATGTTTGAACGAAGGCTGTAATGAGGTCAGCAGCTGAGTAGCCTTGGCGGAACCCAAACTGGGCGTCACTGAGCAGGTCATTTCTGAGCAGGTTCTGTTTGATAGCACTATTGATGATCCATCACTTTACTGATGATCGAGAGGAGACTGATGAGGCAGTGACTTGTTGGGTAGGATTTGTCCTGCTTTTTGTGTATACGTATATAGACATTTTTCCACATTGTTGAATAGATGCTGGCGTTGTAACTGCTGGAAGAGCTTGGCGAGGGGATCGGCAGGGTATTGGAGCACAAGTCTTCTGTGCTATTGCCAGAATGTTGTCAGGGCCCATTACTTTGCAGTAACCAGTGTTCCCAGTCATCTTGACATCATGAACTGGATGAAGACTGGCCTTTGTGAAACTGGGGACCTCTGGAGAAGGCCAAGATGGAGCATCCACTTGGCAGTGCTGGGTGAAGGTTGTTGTGAATGCTTCAGCCTTATCCTTTGCACTGATTTGCTGGGCTTCACCATCACTGAGGAAAGGGATGTTTGATGTCCTTTGTGAGACCTCACCTGGTGTGTAGTTTTGATTTCCCTACCTATGAGGATATACTTGCCATAGAGGGCATTCAGTGGAGGATCACTAGATTAATCCCCGGGACTGTCCTGTGAGTAGAATTTGAGGAATTTGGGTCTGTAATGGCCTCATACAGTCATAGAATTTAACAGTACTGAAAGAGGCTATTTGACTCATCAGGCCTGTACTGGCTCCCAAACAGCTACCTAGCTAGTCCCATTAACCAGCCCTATATTTATAGCCCTCTACGTTCATCTCTTTCAAACATATCCAGCTCTCTTTTGAATCCTGCTATGGAATCAGCTTCTGCCATTCTCCCTTGTCCTCAATAAGGTCATCTGTTTAATCTTCTCTGCTCCAAGAAGAATAAGCCCAATTTCTCTAATGTTTCTTTGCATCTAAAATCCAAGGTGAGAGGAGAGAGATTTAAAGAAGACATAAGAGGCAAATGTTTTACATAGAAGGTGGTTCACATGTGGAATGAACTTTCCGAGGAAGTGGTGGATGCAGGTACAATTACAACGTTTAAAAGACATTTGGATGGATACGTGAATAGGAAAGGTTTGAAGGGATATGGGCCATTAGCAGGTGTGGGACTAGTTTAGTTTGGGATTATGTTCGGCTTGGACTGGTTGGACCGAAGGCTCTGTGTCCGTGCTGTATGACTCTATGGTGTCATTCAGGTAAACCTGCTTTGCACACTCTCCAGGACTTTAACATCCTTCCTTGAATAAGGTGCCCAGAACATAATACTCCAAATGTGGTCTGACCAATGATTTGTAGAGGTGTAGCATCACTTATTTGCTTTTATACTCTGTGCCTCTATTTATAAACTCATGGATCCTATAAACCTTCTTAACAACTGTTTCAATTTGCCTGGTCATTTTCAGGGAATCATGTACATGAGTCCCAAGGTCCCTCTGCTCCTGAACTCCCCTCAAAGTTGCACCATTGAGCCTGTATTGACTCTCCATGCTTCTTCTCCCAAAATGCATTACCTCACGTTTCTCTGCATTGATGTTCATCTGCCAGGTGTTGTCTCTAGAGTTTCAAAGTTAAGATGTGATCTGATTGAAACTCATAAAGTTCTTACTGGGCGTGACGTAGTAGAAAGAGTATCCAGTGATTGATGGAGTACAGTTTATCCAGATTGTATCCCATAATATCCACGTCAGTGATCAGTGCTGCATATCCAGTGAGTGAACAAAGAGAGTTTATACAGTTTGAAGATTTTTGCAGAAGGATATAAGTAGCCCAAATTAATTTTGTAAAGATGAAGTATGTATTAACAAGAAGAAAGTGCAAAACAAGATAAGAGTCCTCATTCTGTCACTTTGCTGTTTGCCTCAGAAACCTGGATGATAAATAAAGGAAGATAATAGATACCTATGAAATGTGAATCCTAAGCCACAAAAATTCCATTGAAATATCTTAAGACCTAAGTGAAGAATCATTTGAAATTACAAGAAGAGAACGAACTCCAAGAAGTGACATTCTGCAAACTGAGTGTTTATATTCCCATGTGTCGACGAATGTACAGGGCAAGAATTTTAGAGAGTAAAGTAGCAGAATTTATACAGATTGTATCCTGCAAAATTCGCATTAATGTTCAGTACTGTATATATAAAGTGAAGGAATATTCTGATGATGTGATGTTAGTGGATAGTGTACTCATGGTAGAGGATGAAGGATTAAGTCAAAGGGGATTAGCTGTTGTGGTCAGGTGGCCAGCAGCAGAAATGGCTACAAGACTATTTAAGAAGTACAATCAAGCATGCTGGAAATTTTGGTCAAACTAATTAAAGCAGCAGCCAGGACCTGTTATGGCCTGTAGCTTCCTGTGTTGACCAAGTAAGGCAAATGTCATGGTGCTCTCGAGACAGACTGGCACCATGCTACCTGATACGGAGTGTGGAATGTCACTGTTTACAGCTTGATGTAAACATTTGGGAGTAAACTCCATTGGCTAGGATTAAACAATGTGATCAGGCTTTGAACAATTCATTAGCTGAGTGCCAGACAACATTCTGGAAGCTACAATTTGCAGAGAAGTAACAGAACAAAGGAATTCTCACAGAGGAGCAGAAGGTTTTTGGAAAAGCAATGTCCTGAAGTACTCTTCAAAGAACAAAGAACCATGAGGCAAGAACAACACTGGCCACCTCACTCGAACTGGGGTAGTATTTGATTCAAGCCAAACTTTTAAAGTAAGAGGGTTAAGTGTGGATTAAGTTAAAGCTAAGATAATGTGAAGTTAAATGAAGTGAGTAAAAGTTGAAGTTGGATGAAGTAAGAAGTAAATGTTGTAATGAATGTATGTTTCATATTGAGTATTAGTACGTAAAGAGTCAAATAAAGAAAGGTTTGTTTAATTATGTTCTGAGTCGTTTCCTGCTTTTTGCCTGTTAACAGGGGTAAAAGGTTGAAGTACACCTTTTTGGGCAACACTGTGTTCTTGATTCTGTTGATTCTCTTCAGTGTTGGTGCAGATGTTCGCGTCCATGTCAGTGGGGAGTGATCATCACCCTCCTAACTTAAGTCTTCTTCACAGTAAAGTGCTTTGGAAGGGAGTATACCCAACACCACAGCAGGAGGCTGGGTTTGACCATCCACGATTATTGTTTGCTGAAGACACTTTAACATGATATCTCACTCCCATGTGCTGGACTGCAACATGGTGTGAGTGAAGGTGTTCATGGAGCTGTCTTCTTCTGTTACTTAGATAGCAGGAACTGCAGATGCTAGAGAATCTGAGATAACAAGGTGTAGAGCTGGATGAACACAGCAGGCCAAGCAGCATCAGAGGAGCAGGAAGGCTGACGTTTCGGGCCTAGACCCTTCTTCAGAAATGGGGGAGGGGAAGGGGGTTCTGAAATAAATAGGGAGAGGGGGAGGCGGATAGAAGATGGATAGAGGAGAAGATAGGTGGAGAGGAGACAGACAGGTCAAAGAGGCGGGGATGGAGCCAGTAGAGGTGAGTGCAGGTGGGGATGTAGGGAGGGGATAGGTCAGTCCAGGGAGGACGGACAGGTCAAGGGGGCGGGATGAGGTTAGTAGGTAGGAGATAGGGGTGGGGCTTGGGGTGGGAGGAAGGACAGGTTAGGGAGGCGGGGACGAGCTGGGCTGGTTTTGGGATGAGGTAGGGGGAGGGGAGATTTTGAAGCTTGTGAAGTCCACATTGATACCATTGGGCTGCAGGGTTCCCAAGCGGAATATGAGTTGCTGTTCCTGCAACCTTCGGGTGGCATCGTTGTGGCACTGCAGGAGGCCCAGGATGGACACGTCGTCTGAGGAATGGGAGGGGGAGTTGAAATGGTTCGCGACTGGGAGGTGCAGTTGTTTAGTGCGAACCGAGCGTAGGTGTTCTGCAAAGCGGTCCCCAAGCCTCCGCTTGGTTTCCCTGATGTAGAGGAGGCCACAACGGGAACAGCAGATGCAGTATACCACACTGGCAGATCTGCTTGATGTGGAAAGTCTTCTTGGGGCCTGGGATGGGGATGAGGCCAGAGGTGTAGGGGCAGGTGTAGCACTTCCTGCGGTTGCAGGGAAAAGTGCCAGGTGTGGTGGGGCTGGAGGGGAGTGTGGGGTGGACAAGGGAGTCCCGGAGAGAGTGGTCCCTCCGGAAAGCAGATAAGGGTGGGGAGGGAAAAATGTCTTTGGTGGTGGGGTCGGATTGCAGATGGCAGAAGTGTCGGAGGATGATGCGTTGGATCCGGAGGTTGGTGGGGTGGTACGTGAGGACGAGGGGGATTCTGTTTTGGTTGTTATTGCGGGGAGGGAGTGTGAGGGATGAGTTGCGGGAAATGTGGGAGACACAGTCGAGGGCGTTCTCGACCACTGAGGGGGGGAAGTTGCGGTCCTTGAAAAATGAGGACATATGAGATGTACGGGAGTGGAATGCCTCATCCTGGGAGCAGATGCGGCGGAGGTGAAGGAATTGGGAATAGGGGATGGCATTTTTGCAGGAAGGTGAGTGGGAGGAGGTGTATTCTAGCTACTGTGGGCTTGAAATGGATATCGGTTTCTAGGTGGTTGCCACAGATGAAGACAGAGAGGTCCAAGAAGGAGAGAGAGGTATTGGAGATGGTCCAGGTGAACTTAAGGTTGGGGTGGAAGGTGTTGGTGAAGTGGATGAACTATTCGAGCTCCTCGTGGGAGCACGAGGCAGCGCTGATACAGTCATCAATGTAACGGAGGAAGAGGTGGGGTTTAGGGCCAGTGTAGGTACGGAAGAGGGATTGTTCCACGTAACCTACAAAGAGGCAGGCGTAGCTTGAGCCCATGCGGGTACCCATGGCCACCCCCTTTGTCTGTAGGAAGTGGGAGGAATTGAAAGAGAAATTATTGAGGGTGAGGACAAGTTCGGCTAAGCAGATGAGGGTGTCAGTGGAGGGGGACTGGTCAGGCCTGCGGGACAGGAAGAAGCGGAGGGCTTTTAGGCCATCTGTATGGGGAATGCAGGTGTATAGGAACTGGACGTCCATGGTAAAGATGAGGTGTTGGGGACCGGGGAATTGGAAGTTCTGGAGGAGGTGGACGGCATGGGTGGTGTCACGGACCTAGGTAGGGAGTTCCTGGACCAAGGGGGAGAAAATGGAGTCGAGTTATAGGTGGAGATAAGTTCGGTGGGGCAGGAGCAGGCGGAGACAATGTGTCCACCAGCGTAGTCAGGTTTGTGGATCTTGGGAAGGAGATAGAAGCGGGCGGTGCGGGGTTGGGGAACGATGAGGTTGGAGGCTGTGTGTGGAAGGTCACCTGAGGTGATGAGGTTGTGGATGGTTTGGGAGATGATGTTTCCGTGGTCGGGAGTGGGGTCATGATCAAGGGGACGGTAGGAGGAGGTGTCGGAGAGTTGGCACCTGGCCTCGGCGATGTCGAGGTCAGTGCGCCATACTAGAACTGCGTCTCCCTTGTCTGCAGGTTTTATGGTGAGGTTGGGATTGGAGCAGAGGGCTGCACATTCTGCGGGGGAGAGGTTGGAGTGGGTGAGAGGGGTGGAGAGGTTGAGGCGATTGATGTCTCGACGGCAGTTGGAGATGAAGAGGTCGAGGGAGGGTAGGAGGCCTTGGGGTGGTGTCCAGGAGGAGGGGGGTGTGTTGGAGGCGGGAGAAGGGGTCAGTAGAGGGAGGGTTAGGTTCACAGTTGAAGAAGTAAGCATGGAGGCGGAGGCGGCGGAAAAACTGCTCTATGTCCAAGCGTGAGCGGTATTCGTTGATGTGTGGGTGGAGGGGGACAAAGAACAACACCTCATTTTCCACTTGGGGACCCTACAGCTCTCCGGACTCAATATTGAGTTCAATCATTTTAGGGCCTAAACTCTCCCATGCCCTAGCCCCCTACCCCACACACCAGGCCTTGTTACCACATAGCCTGCCATTACAGACCCCCTCCCCTGTTGTTAGTCACTAACAGTCCCCATTAACAACTACTCACCCTCCCAGCCTGATCCTTAGCAACTCTTTTGTCTGTCCAACTGTCTTTCTCTCTGTTTGGGTTCTATCCTGTTGTTTACTCCTTACCCCACGCATCTCCCTATTTTCTGCATATAAACTGACATTTTCCCAGCCACCATCAGTTCTGAGGAAGGGTCACTGGACCCGAAACGTTGACTCTGTTTTCTCCTTCACAGATGCTGCCAGACCTGCTGAGCTTTTCCAGCAACTTTGTTTTTGTCCCTTTCCTATTAGCTGCGATGGAGTCTTTCATGGTTAAATCCTTCATTAATCTTTAAATGTGTTCGATGTGTACTACTAATGAGTTATATTTCTTTCTCTCTGAAAGAGTCATGCTGGTTGCTGCTGCCCTTCCCCCTGCTGCCATGTGCTGCCCCATCCCCATACTTGCCTGCTGACCGCTGTGCACCTCACTCCCACTGTGAACTGCTGCCCCTACCCCTGCTGCAGGCCTCATCCCTCACTGCACAGCTCACCGCTTCAGACTATTTCTGAGTGTTCTAGTTGCTATGCCACTTACTGGCAATAAACACAGCCTTCCCAAAATCGTTAAAACACAAATCGAGTCTATGAAGTGTCTCCTGCTTCTCCTGCAGTCCTGAACATTCTTCCTTTTCAGATAATAATCCAGTTCCCTCTTGAACGCTTCAACTGAACCTGCTCTGTACCATCCTGTCAGCAAGTACATTCTAGATCCTAACCACCCGCTATGGGAAAAGCTTTTTCTCATGTTACCAATTATTCCGTTGCAAATTTGAACTCTTTGGTTCTCAATCTGTCTACCAGTGGGAACGGCTTCTCCTGATCAACTGTGTCCAGGCCTCTCTTGATTTTGAGTAGGTCTGTCAAATTGGAGAATCACAAATCATTTTTGTGAATCTTACCTACACAACCTTCCCAATGAGTGGTGTCCCCAACTGGATGTAGTACATCAGCTGAGACCAAACCAGTGCTTTACACAGATGTTAGACAATTTCCTGTCTGGACAATATACTCTATAGACCTATTAAAAAATTCTAGGATGCAAAAATTGATCTATCAACCTGTCTTTCAATTGTCAATGATTTATGCATATATATTCCCAAGTTCTGTTCCTGGACCCCCTATAAAATTGTATCTTAAATTGATTCGCTGCATTCTCATGACAAAAATGAATAACATTTCATATTTGTTAATACATTTATAATTATTCTCTTTCAATCTGATTCATTTCTACAGGTGAGAAGTTGCTGTCAAGTGTGAGGAGGACTCCATAGGCTCATAAAATCTCTGAACAAGCAAGGTGCCTCTATTATACAACTATTAACACATGGAAAGAAACCCTTCAAGTGAGAGGTGTGTAAACAAGCATTCACACAGTCATCAACTCTTGTGAAACACTGCTGTATTCACTCTGGGGAGAGGTTGTTCAGATGTGAGGTGTGTAACAAGAGCTTTGCAGAATCATTCACCCTGCTGATACACTGGTGAGTTCATACTGGAGAAGAGTCATTCACATGCAAGGAGTGTGATAGTCACAGTCATCGACACTGTGTATACACCAACGCATTCACACTGAGGAGAAACCATTGATATGCGAGGTATGTGACAGTCATTCTCATAGTCACCAAACTTCCACAAAAACCAAGTCATTCACATGGGAGAAACATTCAATTGCAAGGTGTGTGACAAATTATTCTCACAGTCATTAACCTTCCGTGTCCATCGGGGAGAAACCACTCACATGAAAAATCTGTGACAAATGATGCTCACAATTGATGAACTTCCAAGAATTCAAGCGCATTCACACAGGGGAAAGCCATTCACGTGTGAGGTGTGAAAAATCATTCTTGTACTCATCAAACCTCTGCAAATACCAATGTATTCACAAGGAGGAGAAACCATTTAAGTGTGAGGTGTGCCAGAAATCATTCTTGAGATCATCATACTTTCTACTCCATCAGAAGATCCACACAGGGGAGTAACCATTCAAGTATGCGATTTGTAACAAAGCCTTCAACATGTCTTTGAACACGGAAACTAGAGGATTCACAAAGGAGGAACTCTGGGTGAAATGTTTGTGACAAGACTTTTATCCACTCATCTGATCTGCAGAGGATCCACGCAGGTGAGAAGCCAATCATGTGTGAGGTGTATGACAAGGGTTTCACACAGTCAGTGAGAGTCCTAGTCCATCAATGCTTTCACACAGGAGAGAAACCCTATCAGTGTGAGTTCTGCAATAAAGCATTCATACAGTTATCTGACCTCCTGGAACATCAGCGAACACATGCAGAAGACAAACCTTTCCAGTGTGACGTGTGTCAGAATTGTTTTAGCTACTCCTCTCTCACCATACACCAACGACTTCACATGGACTTGGAGCTGGGTCACCTGATTCCATTGCACTGAGAGTTGTTTGTGTTGTTTAGCCTCCAGTGTGCACACAGGGGAGCTGTCATTCCAAAGCACAATTTGTCTCAGCAAGGTCTGTCTCAAACCTCACTCACCAGCAGGCCAAACATTTCAAAAAGGTTTAATTTAACCTCTGTTTGATGACTAAACAACATCAAATGAAGCCATCAATATGTAAAGAACTCCTGCTTGTACATAAATATCACTGTGTCTCTGGGAGGATATCCTCAGCCACAGGAAGTAGGTGATTGAGGAGAATGTGTGTCAGGATTTTCCCTGCTCTGGATAAGAAGGAAATATCTCAATAGATTTTGCAGCATGATTTATCTCCCTTCTTGAAGATAATTCAGTTGTTGCATTCTTAAAGTTGGTGGTTAGCAGGGAAGTTTCTTTTCCTCCCGAATCTGCAGGATGAGTGCATGGAGCCTTTGTGAATAAAACTCCCCCAGCTTTGTAACCCTCAGCTAGAATTCCACTGGCCTGCAGGCTTTGTTGTTTCTTATCTGTTTTGATTATTACAGCTCTCTCATTGATGGTGTCTTACCCATGGATTCTATTACATAAGGTACTGGTGGATAGACTGGATGGTATCAGCCATCCTTGTGTATTCATGGTTGAGAAGTTGTTCAAAATGTTCAAAATGAAATTGTTGTCCTTAAGAGAAACACCATCCTGTGAATGAAGGGGATTTTTGACCCCATGATGTCAATCCTGGTGGTTTTGGAAAAGAATTGCTTGTCATGATTCAACAATAAAATGATTGTCCCTTGAGATTAGTTTTCCCACCACATGCCCTTTATTTTCCAGAGTTTTCTTTGGGCATCAACCTTGAGCTGTTGAAATGCTCCCTTCTTGAGTTCTGACCTTGAATTGTTCTGCCCAGCAATGAGCGCTGATTTTTTTTGTTCCAGGAGGTCATGTATTTGAGCATCATGTTCACTGAGCCAGTCCTGGGGACAGTGATGCTCAAACCCAATGGACTGGACACAGGAGTTCAGTCCAGCTGACTTTATACTAATCCCACTGTTTGGGAATTGAGTTAGATCAATGAAGATTTTAGAGTTTGGTCTTGAGCTGCTCCTGGAATTGTTTAGTCGGTCTGTTTTCAGGTTGAGACATTGTTCTGTTTCCTCTTGGACTTTGGTGCTGGGTGGATGATCGGCATTGATCAAACAAGTTGATGATATGTCCAGCAGCATAATGCCCCCCTCATGGATCGAGTGATACAGACATCACTTAGCATTTTGACTTGAATGTAGACCTTCCAGGTAAACTTCTAAGATGGTCTTCGTGACCAAAAAATATCAAGAACAAGACCTGGAACTGTTGTTGTATTCAATTACACCAAAGCATTTGACTCGATAAATCACGGAGTCCTGTTGATTATGCTCCAATAATTTGGATATTGAAGAAAATTCATCACAATCCTGCAATTACTTCATGATGATGTAACTGTCCTGGATGGGAGTTCTGAAACAGAAGCTTCAAAATCCAGATTAGTATCAAGCAAGTATCACAGACAAGAGGGAGAAGTGAATTGAATGATTTTTACTTTATCTCTCCTGTCCATAACAGAGGTGTTTGCAATTACTTTCTTATTTTTACCTTTCCAACTTAAAAATAGACAGTGATGTGTTTCCCTTGATATTTTGTGAAGTTCAATTTAAAAATGACTCCACGACACACAGCATATTCCTTTAGGTTTATTACAGCATTCAAAACCCAGCGGAATGGTTCACAACACCCATTCTCACCTCGTGCACTTGAGAAAGGAAGGAGTGAAATTACAAACTGCTTAAAATCAAAGATATATGAACGAGTTCACATGAGAAAGAGAGTCCAGTAAGTCAATGTTCAATGAGTTTCTTTCAGTTGTCTGTATACAGCAGTCTCTTTTGAAGAAGTCAGATACAGTTTAATTGCTGATAAAAGTATAAGCTTGTGATTGTTCCATTTCACAAGCAAAACAACAGTTTCTTTCCAGAAATCATACTTTTTACTCTGCTTAACATTTGCAACTAGTTTGAACTGGCAGGAGGTGCCAAGGTTAATCAAGGCAGAATGAAACCATGTTCTTTGGGAATTAGGCCAATTAATCCTTTGTCTCCTTCATCACCAGGTCAGGATATCCCAAGGTGCTGGGAATAAGAACAAGCACTAAAACCTGGGAGGAGTACATGCCAAAGGAAGGCAGAAACTGGACATGTGGGAGTAACGTGCCTCTTCTGATGTGAATAAGAAGCTGGTTATCATGTGTGGAGTGCTCGTGGTGTTACCGTACATGGCTCAGTCTGGCCCATTCTCAGATCCTGTACCTCAGTGGTCACTTGAACCATCATTTTTATCTGGAGATCAGTCATGGATTGTGTCAGCAGGGACAAAACCCTGGATAGAGCGTGGACGTTGCTGTCATCCAGTTGTTGTTTGCAGTGCTTAGACTGCCTGTATGCAGACAGCAAGTGTCAAAATATGCCCAAGGTTCTAGCTGTTCCCAGGTTTATGAAGGATGGCTCTGGCCACGTTGCTGCAAAACACTCCAAGTAGTTGGGACTATACTGTACCATCAGACCCTTGTGGAGACGTGTGTACGGTGGTTTGAAGACTGCAAGAATGATTAGTTGCATAACTCACATCTTAATGATTCATCTGTGTGAATGTGTTGATGTACACACAAAAGTGTGTTAAAGCCAAGAAGGATCTGTCATACACATCACAAATGAATGATTTTTCCTATGTGAATGAGCTGGTGTGCAGAGAAGCTTGTTAACTCTGGAATAATTTGTCACACATCTTAATCTTGAGTGGTTTATTGGCAGTGTAAATACATTCATGTTTCAGCAATGTTGATGATGGTACAAAGCCCTTGTTATACACCTGATTCTTGAATAGATTCTGTCCAGTGTGAATGCTTCAATGGCATTGATCACTGTAAGAAGGCTCAGCCACACACCTCACATTTCAGTGCTTTCTCCACTATGTGAATGTATTGGTACACATGGAAATGAGATGTATGCATGAATAGTTTGTTGCATATCCTAAACATTGAATACAAACTCTTCATGTAGCTGATTTTGTATTAACCCTCATGATTTAATAAACCTCTATAAGGTCACCCCTCAACCTCCTACATTTGAGTGGAAAAAGGTCCCAGCCTATTATTATAACTCAAACCCTCCATTCCTGGCCATATCCTACTAAATCTTTTCTGAACCCTCTCCAGTTTAATAATATCCTTCCTATAACAGGACGACCAGAACTGCATATACTGTTCCAAAAGTGGTCTCACCAACGTCCTGTACAACCTCAACATGACATCCCAACTTATATACTCATAGGTCTGAGCAATGAAGGCAAGTAAGCTAAATAATATGCCAAAATTCCCCTGACTCGACCAATTTCCAGATGATGGTTTCCCTGCCCAACCTTCTTTGTTTAGACCAATGCTGTGAAGGGACTGGAGGTTTTCCCACAGTTGTGCAGTTGTTCCTTGGGTGATGGTCAGGACCTATCTGCGGTAGCTATCCTCACTGTATTCTCTGGTGTAGTACGGTGCAATCCTTCTGTAAAACAGGAAAAGGAAACATGATTTCCTCCAACTCTCTCTCTTCCTTTGCTGAAGGGGTTGACTCCTCCGATACAGACAGTTCCAGAGTGAGTGTCAGTTTGCTGTTCCCCTATGTGGAAATAGCAAATCCCTTTTCCATACTTGACTGTAACATATCTCTGTTTCAAGGAGGGATACTAGATAGTGACCAAAAGCAGACAACATGACTTCCTCTGTCCAGTCCCGTGAGGCCATTGGAAAAGGCATTAAGGCAGAGCTTAAAACGGGCTATCAATTCACGATGAGCTCCTCTTGTGCTAATGAAGACTATAGTTTTGACCGTAGAGTATGCATTTAGTATTAAAAGCATTTGAGAAATGCTAAAATTATTTGAAATTTCTCCTATTATAATCTCTCTGTATCTACATTGTCAAAACCCCTAAGAATCATTTATGTTTCAATAATGTCTTTTCTCATACTTCTGAACTCCAATGAATACAATGACACCCCACTCAACTATTTCTCACA